CTCGGTAGCAGAAGAGTCCCCTTAGAGTCGTGAAGGAGGTGATCTCTCGGTCGGGCCCATGCATGGCAATCTGATAGTAGCCGCGATAGGCATCCAAGAAGCTGAGCCTATTATGTCCAGCCGTCAAGTCCACAAGCTGGTCAATGCGAGACAAAGGGAAGCTATCTTTCGGACAAGCTTGGTTGACTGTCTTGTAATCGACACAAACTCGCCACTTCTCATTCTTCTTGGGCACCACTACGGTGTTGGAAATCCACATAGGGTAGTGCACTTCCTGAATTGTTCGTGCCTCGAGCAAGTTTTTCACTTCCTCCGCAACTACCTCGGCGTGATGTAGCGCTGACCTCCTTGTTCGCTGAATGACCGACTTTGCTCTGGGGAAGACATTGAGGTGATGACAGATAAAACTTGGATCAAGGCCGGGCATGTCGTAAGGCGACCATGCGAAGATCTCGATGTTGGCCACCAAAAACTCCACAATTTCAGTCCTTTCTCGGGTAGTAAGGCTGGAGCCGAGAAGGAAGAACTTGTCTGGATGCTCTATATCAATTTACACTTCCACTAATTCCTCAACGGCTTTGTCCTCTGCCCTGGTGCCCACATCCTCAAGAACTCCCTGGTCTCTCGGTCCTTCTATCATTTGAACAAAGCCTTTGGCAGCCCGGCTCCCGTTGACTGCCACGAAGCACTGCTTTGACATGACTTGATCTCTCCAAATTTCTTCGATTACCCCCATAGCCGAGGGAAATCTTATTACCTGATGGTGGGTCGACGCCACGGCTTGCATCGCGTGAAGCCATCCCCTTCCAAGGATCAGGTTATAAGTGGATGGTACTTGTAGCACCCAAAACTCCACTTGCTTGACTACGGATCCCGCTTTGACCGGCAGGATAATCTTTCCCAAAGGCCACTCCGGTTGTGAGTTGAAACCGACCAGGGGCGAAGTTGCCGGAGCCAAGTCTGTATCACGGAGCTTAAGCTGCTTGAATGCATCGTAATACATGATCTCGACCGAGCTTCCCTGATCAATCAAGATCCGTTTGACATCAAACTCCTTGACGCGGAGCGTCACTACTAAGGCGCCGTTGTGCGGTGTCTGAATGCGTTCTAGATCCCTCGAGGAGAAACTGAGCACATCTCTTTCTTCGGTCTTTCCCCTCTTGATTGCAGACTGAACCGACAAGACTTCCCTCATGTGTTCTGCCTTCTTTATCATACCCCGGAGCTCGCATACCCGCGCCGGTTCCATTATGCCGTGAATGACATTAACAACTCCTTGTGAGGGTGCATCACGGTCATCCGGTCCTCGCGGATCAACCGGAGCTTGATTCGCCTTAACACCTCCATCGATGTAAAGGTCCAGGTGTCCGGCTGCGACTAACTCTTCCAAGTGTTGCCTCAAAGGCAAACAATCCTCTATCCGATGGCCGCGCTTCCTGTGAAATGTGCAGTGGTACCGCGAATTGAAGCCCTTCTGACCGTCGCCCAACTTAGCAAGAAATCGGACGTACTCCTCGTCGCGAATTTCACTAAGTATGCGATAGATCGGAATTTTGAAGACCGTGGTAATGCCCGTCCTGGCCTTCAATCTTCTGTTTGCGTCGACCACATCATCCCGGGGGTAGTCATCTTGGTCATTTCGACGACCCCTACCCCGGTTTTTACAATTTGAGCCACGGTCCGATTCCTCAGCACGGTCACTTGATCGGCTGGACTCTTGTCCAGCTGCGTGCACTTTGCTAGCTGACCTCTTGTCTATTGCCACCGGAGTCGCCTTCGCGGTAGCTGTTGACGCATTATCCTCTACTCAGATGTGCTCATTGATGCGCTGCATTAACTGGCCCATGGACGTCGACTGGTGCATGGTAAGTGAGTCCCGCAGTCTATGTCCGACTGGAAGGCCTCGCTTGTACTGAGTGATTGCAAGGTTGACTGGGCAATCCAAGATCTCGTTGAAAGTCTCCCAATATCTGGAGTTGTATGCTTTCAATGTATCGCTCGGCTCCATCTTGACACTCAGCAGGTGATCAACTTCTTTAGGTGTTTTAGTGTTGGTTTTGAAGCGCGTCACAAAGGCTTCGGCCAACTGATGCCACCTCTCAATACTCCCCTCCAGCAGCCACTCGAACCATTTCAAGCCCAGCTCGCCCAAACTTGACGGAAAGATGAGGCACATAAGAGCATCATTCTGCCTATGTCCGGCCATGACCTGTCGAAAGTGGCTTACATGCATGTAAAGATCGGTCTTTCCGTTGTAAAGCGTGAACTTTGGCTGGTGGAAGCCTGCCGGAAGCGATGTTATTTCTATTTCCAAGGAGAAAGGGGTGGCGCTCAACTTTGCCAAGTCGGAATCCACAAGGAGTGGCGCCGCTAGGCGGGGTGGAGACATTCCGACCTCCTCGCTGGCGTAAACCCCGTAGGATAACCGCTGGAAAGCCGGTATCCTCTGTGCCTCCCGCCGGCGAGCCCGTTCCTCCAAGACTGTCCGCAAATCTTCTGATCGAGCGAAATAGGTGTACCTCGACGTCGTCGCCGGACGTGAGGGCTAGTAAGTGCTATCTTGTGCGCTGGACTTCTCTGCGCGCACATCAGAATCACCAACCTTGTAACTTCTGGTAATAGAGATGGACGGTGTGTGCCGTTGACTCTGACTACCTGAACGGCGGGGTTGGGTGCACTCACTGTGGTCTCCCACTCCAGCTACACCCTTCCCTTTGACATGTCGCTTCAGCTCCTCCATCTCCGCCGGATGACGGCGTCCTCGTCCTTCAGCTTATTTTCCAGACATCTGGCGTATGAGTCTCTCCTCCGTCGATGACCGTCTGGACTCTGTGAATGACCATGACTTCTTCAACGCTTATCCCGCGCGTCTCCCGACCGTCCTCCTGGGAATGTCTCCAAGTCCCCCATCGGAGTAATGGTGGGGTGTCCCTCTCTCCGTCTGCCTGACTTCGGAGTGGCTCCATTGATGGCGGACAGCGGAATCTCTTCGTTGTTCGCCATAGAAAGCGATCGGATGAGCTTGGAAGACAAGGTTTTATCTGCAAAGTTTCCCACAGACGGCACCAATTGTACGGGGAGAGAATATTCAGGCAAGCCCGTACTCCCTTCTTCTAAGCTCCGCTTCTATCCGATCACCTGCGTACACAAAGGCGGTGAGCTACCCGGCGGTGTGTGGCTGGAAAACCCCTCCGACGGTCAAGTTAGAACACACACCAGGGGATAGATAGAGAGAAGGGAGAGAATTATGTTTAGTGCATGTCTCACCAAATGTTCATCCGCCCACGTATGGGGGGCGCAGACGTGCTTATATACCTTCTGCGCCCCAAATCTACTCCCAGTGACCTCTCAACACGTGGCACTGCTATCCCATCTGTCAGCATAAACCTTGGAGATATCCATATGGTGTTTATTAAACTTGAGAAAGCATATGATAGAATGCCCCGAGATATAATATGGTGGATGTTAGAAAAGAAATGGGTAACAAAAGGTTACATTGATGTGATTAGAGACATGTATGAAGGGGTGGTGACCACTATTAGATAGCCTGCTGAAGAGACAAATGAATTTCCTATCATTGTACGGTTACACCAAAGATCTATCTTAAGTCTTTATCCTTTTGCTTTAGTTATGAATAAGTTGATGAGAAATATTCAGGATGACGTGCCATGGTGTATGTTTTTTTGCAGACGATATTGTGATAGTGAATGAGACTAGAGAAGGAGTTAACACAAAATTGGAGACTTGGAGAAAAACACTTGAATCTAAAAGATTCCAGATAAGCAGAACTAAGACAGAGTATATGGAGTATAAATTTAGTAACAGTAAAAATGAAAGTAGAGGAGAAGTGAAGATTGAGAACTAAAAACTGCCTAAGAGTGAACATTTCCGTTATTTAGGGTTGATTATCACAACAGAGGGAGAGATTGATGCCAATGTGGCCCATAGAATTAAGACAGGATAGTGCAAGTGGAGAAGTGTGTCTGGGGTACTGTGCGATGCTGTATGGGACGGAGTGTTGGGCAATCAAGAAACAACATGTAGATAAGATGAGTGTGACTGAGATGAGGATGCTAAAGTGAATGTGTGACAAGACTAGACAAGACAGAATTAGGAATGAGTGTATTCGAGAATGGGTAGGAATAGTACTGATAGAAGATAGGTTGAGAGAGAATCAATTGAGATGATTTGGTCATATTCAACAGAGACCAACAGAGGCAGTAGTGAAGAGATGCGATACTGTAACGGTAGATGAAAGTGTTAGGAGACGGGGTAGGCCTAGATTAACGTTGACTAGCGTTTTAAATAGAGATATGAATCTATTTAATTTGACTAATGAAATGACCTTTGATAGATCCGCGTGGAGAAGAAGGATTCATGTAGCCGACCCCATTTGATGGGACTTAAGACTTGGCTTGGTTTGGTTTGGTTTGGTTTGGTTCGGTTAGATATACTTAAAAGTAAAATATTTGTAAATTTTTACTAAATATAAAAAAATATAAAAAAAAATCCATACATTTTTCACAAATATTTTATTTTTTGAGTGCATCTAAAAAAATGACAAAACTATTAAAAAAAAACACTAAAGATAACAAAACTCAAAAACTATTTTTAAAAATTCAAAACCAAACAAAATAAATGTTGTTTAGTTTAAAATTTTTTATTTTTAAATCTGTAATACTTAAGCTTATAAAGTGACATCATCTATAAAAATTTAGGAAAATGTTTGGGACCCCCACGACCTCCTCTGATGTATTGATCATTGATGTGTTTGAATTTTTTTTGAAAATTGTGTCTGACAGTGACATGAATGATTCAGATCATTTTGAGAGTGTGAGGGTTGTGTTTTATGGAGATCTGTATCTTTACTGACAAATTTATGAAGTCGCCACGGCCTTTAAACATAAAAAGTTCAAAGGAATTATGCTGCTAATGTTATGATTACCATTTCAAAGCTTGCAATAATGACCAAATTCAGAAATAAAAAAATACTTGAATACCTGATCATGGATACACTTGCCCACTTGCAGAGCCCCCGAATGTGCACAGGCTAGCAAAACAGCAGACAAAGTGACAGCATTGTAGTTGACATCTCTACCTCCGACCATGTCATGAAACATTTTTAGTGCCTCAGCTGACAATCCATTTTGCGCATACACTGCAATCAATGAATTCCAAGAAACTTCATCCCTCTCAATCATCCCATCAAACACCTTTCTAGACACCCCTACGTCACCACACTTGGCGTAGGCATCGATCAAAGTATTCCCAACACCCAAATCGTCCTCAAAGCCCCTCTTTATGACAAACCCGTGAATCCCTTCCGTGATACTCTTCCCAGAAACACGAGAACAGGCCGATAGAACTGAAACCATTGCAACGGAGTCTATACACGCTTGGTCTCCTCCATCATTCTGGCTCTCTTCGACCAAGAACTCTTTGAAAAGTGATAATGCCCCGGGGGCATTGTCGTTTTGGACATACCCAGTGATCATTGAAGTCCAAGAGACCACATTTCTCAGTGGAATTTCATCGAACAGGGTTCGTGCGTCCTGTAAGTGGCCGCACTTAGAGTACATGTCGACGAGAGCAGAGGAGACGAAGAGGTCTGATCCGAAGCCAAAGACAAAAGCTTGTAGGTGGGTTTGTTTGCCAGAATGGAGATCGGAGAGAGCGGAGCAAGATTTGATGGCGCAAGGAAAGGTGGAACGGTCTGGGTAGAGAGAGAGCTTGCGCATGGAGGAGAAGGCACGGAGGGCTTCGAGGGAGTGGCCGCTGCGAGCCAAATCGGCAATGACAGAGTTCCAGGAGGAGACGCTGGTTTTATCAACATATTTATTAAACAAAGTTACGAGGTTGGAATTGGTTGAGGAGGAGGGGGAGGAGTAGTAGTAGTAGCCGAGTTGTCTGTAGAGTTGATAACAAACTGATGAATTGGAATTTGAAATCTTCATTCAATCCTTATGCTGCTTCTCTTCTCCTCTCTTCCCTCTCTCGCGTAAATAAACGGCTAACAGGTTTTAGTTATGAAATCGGGTATGCTTTTGATTGCAAGCAAGACATTCTCCAGTATCTACTCAAATAATAATAACGAGAAAGAAAGCAAAAATACACAATACTCTATTTGGTGTCTGTTCTGCTACGTAGAATACTTAAATTTAAAATATAGACAACGATGGCCACTTCTTTTTATTTATTTCCTGCCGTAACTCGTGCTATACAGTGTGTAAAAAAATATTAATAATATATTTTTATATAAAATAATATAAATTGTTAAATTTTTATATGTAAATTATGAAAATAAAAAAAGATTAAAATTTACAATTTAAGTTCCATAATTTTATCACAATTTATTTATTATTTTTTAATTTGTCACAAAATTTATTCATGTAACTTTTAAAATTGCAAACTTAGGTGAATTCAACTCAAGCAACTTGAGTCGAACTTAAATTTTTTTAAAGATTGAACAATATGATTTTTAATTAAGTGGGGGTATATGTAGAAATTTAAAAATTCAAATTAAATTTGAGTGGACTTGGACAGAAATACCAAATAACCTGAGCAACCAAACCAAAACAAAATTATATATATAAATATATAAATTATTTGCTAATTTATTTTTTTAAATAATAAATAAAATTAATTAAAAATATAATATTAATAAACTAAAGAAAAAGTGATATACTTGAGATTTCTAATTGAAATTTTCTTGATTTTTTTTTTTAAATTACACTTTTTAGAAAAGAGTCATTGAATAAAGGGTTGTTTAGAAAGTGTCATATTAGCTCACTTTTTTATTTTTTTATCTTTTTTAGGTCACATCACATGTCTACCTTTTTACGCATCTTTTTGTAAAAAATAAAAAATATACTTAATTATCTTTTTTGAGTCACATGACATCTCTACTTTTATGTACATATTTTCATAAAAAGTAAAAAAAAATATACCTATTTAGCACTTTCCAAAACGTTGATATTAAAAAACTTTAATTTTTATAATGACATAAATAATTTAGATATAATTTTTTAGAAATTCTTTTTAATTTAAAAATTACAATAAAATATTAAATAGAATAAAAAAAATTTCTTACAAAATAAAAGTATTTGAATAAAAAAAGGTAAGGAAAAAAATTTAATGTGATATTTTCATTTAATCTGAAAATAATTCTAATTAACAATAAAATATCACCTATAACCCTATCTTTTTTAAATAAAAAAAAGTTTAACGAACTATCACTTTTAATATAAAAAAAAATTAACGTTTCTTTCTAATTTATTTTAACAAAAATAACTTTTTAACAATTTGAGCCAAAGATATCGTTATTCATTATTTTAATTTCTTTAATTGACAATTGAGATAATAAAAAAATAAAAAAAATCTAACAAAATCTACCATATTTTGTGAGTACTAAAAAGTTACGTTTTGTTCATTTGTGAAGAAAAAAGATTATATTAAAAAATATTATTGTTCAAATCCTTATAGTTGAGAAAGATATAATTGTTTTTATAAAATTTACAACAAAAAAGAAAAAAAAATTAATAGCGATTAATAATTTGAACATGTGTATTTAAAATAAATTATATTTAGACTAATAATATTATGATACATCACATATGAATATTGATCTAATTCAAATTGTAGTAATATAATTTGAAGAAGAATTTAAATTTAAATTTAAATTTTATTTTATGATTTAATAAAGGATGCAATATTTAAGGAAAAAATATTGATCTCATTCTTATTATAGTAACATAATTTAGGTAAGAATCAAAATTTGAAATTTTATTTTAAGAATATAAAATTAATTTATAAACCAATCATATTGGTGCCGTTTGGTAATACTTTTAACACGTATTAACAAAAAATTAAACAAAATAAAAAAATTGACCAAAAAGAATTATAACTTTCAACCTTAATGAAATGACAATATTTTACAATTAAATAGTATATAGATATATAGATAAATCATGGAATATATCATTATTTAAAACTTATATATTATTGGATAAATCATTATAATTGTAAATTTAAATTAATGAAATGTTTTTCATATTTAGTGCCTTTCAAATTTAAATCTCGAAATGAATTAGTATATATAGGGTCTGTTTGGTAACGTTTATGTTTTCAGTTTATATTTATAAAAATTTTATAAACTGATTTTTGTTTATTTTTTGTTTATTTTTAGAAAAACATAAACTACAAACGTGTTTGGTAATTGACAAAATGTTTAAAAGATTTAATAAGAATTTGTATTTATTTTAGATATTTTTTAATATACTAATTATTTTTTTTAGATTTTTTATAAAAATAATTTAACAATTACATTACTAACCATAGTGTATGTAGCCTCCGTTTGGGAAGTGAGTTGGCTTTTTGGTTTTTTGATTTTTTTGGCTATTTTAGCCTGGGGCTAAAAAACCTTGTTTGGGAAGGGTTTTTTAGTTTTTTGACTTTTTTGACTTTTTTTGTGAGATGAGTGTAATGATTATGGGTTGGATTTGATGTTTGTTTTTTGTGGCTAAAATAGCCTATTTTATTTTTTGTGACTATTTTAACCCCTAAACCACCAAAACCAACTTCCCAAACTATGCCGTAAGAAGTTAAAAAGGGTGCAACAGTAGGTATGAAAGAAATAAAAAGACTTTAGATTGAAAAAAGTCAATAAATATTGAGATTTTTTTTTTTAAATCAAAAATTTAAAAAGATTTGTATATAGATTATTACGCACAAGGCATGAAAATTAGAATTAAGAAAAGGAAAAAGAGTGAGACCTCTAAAAGTTGAGCTCTAAATGGGCATTAAATTGTCCTTTTCCTACCCATGTTTTGTCTTTTTTCCCCTCTTTTTTTTTTTTTTTTTTTTTTAAATGGTGCCAGCTCATTAGAGCTGTTTGAGGACAGCTCTAATTAGAGCTCTTTAGCAAAACCCTTAAGAAAATGGGACGTGCTAACGATAAGTCTTGTCAATAATAAGTACACAAATTGTAAAATATTTATAATTTTTTTTTTCCATATATCTCAACACATTTTTTCAAAATTAACAACAACCATCATTTTATTATTGTAAATAAATTCATCTTTAATGATATTTTGTTTTAAAATAAAAGATTCACATTAAACCACTTTATTATGTATTGAAAATATATATGAATTTTTTTATTTGTATATCATTTAATCTAAAAAATATATATATATATATATGAATTCTAACCTAAAGGGTGGAGCATGGTCAAATGTTACATTTTCCATGTTCCATTCCCTTGTATTGCCAATCCATAAAAAATTTATGTTTAGTTTGAGTTTGGGAGTTGAGTTTTAGAGATAAAAAGTACGAAAAGTTATTTGGTTTGGTTTTTTTCAAAAGATGTTTTGGAAAATTATTTTGAGATAGAGTTTTGGAAAAAGTGATTGATTTGATGTGTATGAGAGATAGATTTATTTAGAAAACTTGTAAACCAAACAAGTTTTGGGAATTTTTTTTGAAAAAATTTGTTTGGTTTGATTACTTTTGAAAACTTATTGTAGAGAATTTTTTTCAAAAATTTTTGAGAAACACAAACCAAACAAGGCCTGTGAACTTTGATTTTGTTTCCCAACTAGCCACAAAAAACAATTGTTTAAGGTGTGCTATGTAAGAATACTTTTTATTTTATTTATTTATTTTTTTTTGAGTTATATTACTTCCTTATTTTTTTATATATCATTTTATTTCCCAACTAGCCACAAAAAACAATTGTTTAAGGTGTGCTATGTAAGAATACTTTTTATTTTATTTATTTATTTTTTTTTGAGTTATATTACTTCCTTATTTTTTTATATATTTTTTTATAAAAAATCAAAAAATACACTTAGTTACATCATTTTAAAAACAAGTGGGGATAATCCAAGTTTAGATACACATTAATCAAAGGCTATTATTGGCTTGCATATTCAATCAAAATCGTTACACCATTCAGAAAGCCTGTTCAAGCAGAGTCAGTACAAATGTAAATTACATGCCCCGTACGTACTCCATTGTAGAATACAGTAATTTGATGCACTTTAGGAACAGAGATAACTTATATTAAAGCAACAAAATACACCACCAGACCAGACCACCGATCATAGCAATGCCACCACTACTCTCAACCTTAGCCGAAGAACTGGACGGAATCTTCCCCACAAACTCACCTGAACTTGGAATCGGACCGCTCGGTGCCAATGCCTCAAAACTCGGTGGAGCTGCCAATTTAGGGGACGGGAAAAAGGAGGATATGTTGGGTGCAGTCGTCACAGATGGCGAAAGAGCCGGGGAAGCTAAGATTGTCAGCAAATGTTCTGAAAACACGGGATTCAAATTAACAGCAACAAAGACGAGCATGGATAAGAAGACAGCAGAGAACTTGGTGATAATAGCCATGGAGATCTGAGCAGAAGATTTGAGCTGAAGTGGTGGTGGGTATTGTATGGTTCAGAGATGTTGGTTAATTGGTTTTTTGTGAGACAAGGGGGGGTTGTTTGTTATACTTGTGGCTGTTTAATACAATATTGTATCACGGGATTGACAGTGCCACAATGGTAGGTAGGTTTAATTGTGTTGTCTGCGTCTCTTCTTTTTGTCATGATTTGTCTTTTGTTGTTATTATTAGCACTCAAAGAATCTATTCTCTGCATTTGTGAGAGTAATTAGATTGTGTCCAGGGACAATGATCCCATTTGGTAGAACTGTAGAAAAGTGATTATAATTTATAGTTTAATAGCTTATAGTTTATAGGTTCTGTTTGGTAAAACTTAAAAGCAACTTATTTCAATTTTTGACTTAATTTAAGCTAAAAACATGTGTTTGGCTTAGCTTATTTTACCAATTTATAGCTTAAAAGAAACTAATTTTCAACTTATTTGAAAAGTGATCCAAGGGATGCTTATATTTTAAGCTTAAATGCGACGCTGCATAGTGGGCCACCCAAATGACTTAAATGCCCCTCTTAATCTCCATTATTTACGAACACGCCACTAGATATAAACCACATCTCAAACTACTATTCACGAACCATAGAGAGATGAAGGCGTGCAGGTGATTTCCGGCGTGCACAGGCGATTTCCAGCGTCGACAACCCTAACCCTAACCATCGCCATCGACGACGTGACGATCTCAAACCAGAGCTCATCGTCGTGATCTCAAACCAGAGCTCAGCGTCACGATCAATCCACACCGTCGCAATCTGAAACCAGAGCTCTCTCTTTGAAATCACCAAAGCTCTCTCTCTGAAACCAGAGCTCACCATCGTGGCACCATCGTCGTCGCCTCCTCTCTTTCTCTTCGCGATCTGATCGACGCCGTCGCCGTCGCCATCGCGAGCTGCGATGTGAAAACCTAGCCACCGGCGGCAGTAGCTAAGGTTTGTAATGGAAAAAAAATAAAAAAATAAAAAAATAATTAATTGTAATGAAAAAAATTTAATAAAAACATAATCATAATTTAAAAAAAAATTAAAATTGAAGAAAAAAAATGAAATAATTTTTATTAAATGAAATAAAAAATGAATATTATAATTATTAAGCCATTAATTGATAATAAATTAAATTATAAAATATTAATAAATTGATATATTTTGTAACAATTTTGTAAAAATAAATTAAAAAAATATTGATTGGTATTTGTAACAATTTTTAATAAATTAAAAAAATATCAATTAACATTCATGTATTTATAAACTAAAATGAATATAATTTGAAAATTTTAATTAGTATTTCGACATTTTTCTAAATTTTAATCTTACCATGCACCACTTCTGATTTGAAAAAATAAACTATAAACTAAAGAAAATAAAAGAAAAAGAAAAAAAAATTAAGAGAAGAAAAGAAAAAATAAATAAAAACAAGGAAAAAAAATTATTAATATTAATTAATACTAATTAATAATTTTAATATTAATTGAAACTAATTAAGTCATTAACTGCCATTAATTGATACTAATTAAGCAATTAATTGATACTAATTAATTTATAATGAAAAAAATTATTACAATAATACTTCCATTACATTTTTATCAAGTGTATCAATTTTTATATTAGTTGATACTAATTAATACTAATTATATTAACTTTTATTAATGAAATAAATTTTTTAAATTAAAATTGAAAAAAAAATGAAAAAATTATTATTTTTATATCATATAAGGGTAAAAAGGTCAATTATACAGAAAAAACTATTTTACAGCTTATTTACCAAACACTATTCTGCTACTTAAATCTATAATTTTACAGTTACACCAAACAAGTTACCAGCTTATAAGCTATAATGTATAATCGCTTTTTCATAGCTCTACCAAACGGAACCATAGCTGTGAACATAAACTGATTTTCAACTTATAAATTAAGCTTCTCCTCCCCCACTTAAAGAATAAGTTGATTTTTGACTTACAAAAAGATAAACTGTATTGTTAAACTGAACCAAACAACTTAAATTAAATTAAAAACTGAAATAAGTCCTACCAAACAGGGCCAATGTAGCTGAGCCATACAAGCACCATGCGGGGAATAAGAGAACGGAAGGTTAAATTATGCCCCGTAGCGAGATTTGAACCAGAACAACCCACTTGGTAAAAGAGCGTATTGTCTGTTGGGCCAACCCTTGAGTCTCTGCCAAAGCACAATCGGTGCTGCAACTCTGTACAGTAAACCATACAAAAAATGAGTTCCAATTAAAGCAAAATGCAGTTTTAAAGCTACAATAACTCCCCATCTTTCCAATGCAGGGAGTATAGCCAAAACAATTTATTATACTCCCAAATAAGGAAATATGTGTCTCACTCTATAATTAACAACATTCGTAAAATGCTACAAATCAAAAGAATCACCCAGGACCTAGATCCCAAACTCTGGCATAAAAATTATTTTTTTCTGCAGAGTTGGTAACCTGGAAATAAATATGACAAGGTTACAAAGAGTAAAAACATCACTGTATCATGTGAAGCATGGATTGCAGGGTTCAATTTCAATCCATATGTTATGTCCCAATAAAGGCAATTTCCAAACAACAATATGCATTCCATTTTTTTGCAAGTGTGATGGTTCTCATAGTTTCTGACTAGAGGAGCCTGAGATGTGCTGTATCGTTCAATCTCTTTATCTGCCAACCCATTTTCCATGAATGTTGTAACACCGTTATGGAAGAATCTTCTATGCAGATCCTATGTGACATTGCTGGGCTGCACCCAAGGAGGCCTGTGAGAAGACACTTAATCGGAACTGAGTGAGTGAAAACACCAATAGAAGAAGAGACACAAGAAGAAGAACCCCTGACATTTATTTCATTAAGATCGATTTGGCTGTGGGGTACTCGAGGAGACATCTCATCATCAGCCTCATGATCTCCGGTTGTAGTCACAAACTGTAGCCTGCTCTTACCAGATTTTTTCTTTGAAAGCCCCTGTCGATTCCTGTGAAGCAAATCCCAGTTGGGTGGTGGGAGAGAAGGCCCATCCCCGTCATGAATTGAGTTTGTATGTGCATGAGAATTGTGGTGCGAAAACTCTTGATTCTCATGCTGCGAGGGTGGCGAAAAATCTGATATAAATTTTTCAGGCAGTCCCAAAACCGTCCCATTTAAGAACTGGACCATTCGGAATTCCACTTGCCTCAGTGATTCCCCCGATGGTGCAGAGAAATCAGGCTGGAACCGGTCCATCAAGCTCACTATTTCAGGTGTGTATATTTCTGACCGGTGGCAGCCCTCCCAGTGTCCCTGACTCATCTCCAGAAGTGCATCTGAGGACTGTATTTGTTCCTCTGCTAAGTTCATCTCCTGTATAGTTTAACATGCAACGTTTTGATCAAATGTAATTTAGAGGCAAAGTAGAACATTCAAATAATAATACACTGTTGTATGAAAAATCAACTCTCTATCACCCTTTGAACTGCTCCAATCATGTGTAAAACGCAATAAATCAAAATTGTTAACAAATCAATCAATCATCAAAATTATCCCACCAGAACCCACACACAGTTTTCATGAAAAGGAATTACACAATTAATACCCTGAAGCTGCACAGCTATGACAGAATCAATTCATTCAGAATTTACAACTAATTAGCCATGAGATTATTTAAGTAGATGCCTGGCTAAACGATTGAGGTGAACTCAGAATGTCAACAGCATATTGCGATAAAATGTTGGATACTTATAATTCTGCCCAACACTTAGGCTGCCTATCCAGGTTCCACAACTTGTACAAGCACTTAATTTAAAAATTATTATAAAGTCTTAGTACAACTTGGACTTTGAGATAGATTTAGTACAATCAATAGTATAAATGCACAATGTTATGTGAAAAAGATAACATAAGGGGTCACATAGAAATTGCTAGCATGCTAAACCCAATTTCGTGACAAAGGCATAATGAGGTCTTTAATTTGACGTTGATTTGCCCCCTTTTTCTTTCTCACTTTATTTTTATTTTTATTGTTTTTGTTTTTATTTTATTTTTGTGCTTGTATGCATGTTGGAAGAGAGAGAAGGGGAGAAGGGTCTAAGAGAGGAGTTATCATGATTATATGTGCACATGCACACACACAAATGTTGTCCTGTCCTAACTGTGTCCACATCCCATTTTCAAAATATTCAACAGACTGAAAATTTTGCATTGTGTCTAAGTTCACAGCTCTTAACAGTCTAAGTCCATGCAATGTGTTGAAGCTCATTGACATTTTAAATTTTGCATAGGATTTTGAGCAACACAATATGTGGAGAAAGAAAGAGCATCAGTTACTCTTCAAACTTGTTATTGATGGAAAATTTTTGGATTTCCACCGGTTAGGATTCTTATAATGAATAAACATTTCTGTAATACTTTTTAAGTCATCTGTTCCCCTCTCCTCCTTCAATTGCAATATGAAAAATGACACAAGAAGCATTTTTTAACATTAGCAATCAGTTGCCATTAAAATAAATTAAAAAAATCAGTCCTCTTTTTTACAATTTCATTTTAACGCAAAAACAATAGTAAATTCAGCTCACCAACATTCTGATCCAATCTATTATTATGTCCCAGAAGTTTGATTCTAGATCACAAAGTTAATTTTTGTCAAAATTTTAACAACAAACCAACTTATAAAAGAAATTTTAGGAGACTTACCTGTCATGGACCATATGTTTAGTGTCCTAATGTCTAATTTTGAATGAGCTGAAAAAAGTTAAATTAATTTATGATTCTAAACTCCAAATTTGCATTTTCCACTGTATCTCTAGGAAGGAAAAGAAGGTGCAGGCTGTGCAGCTTTTAAAGGTGGGTGTGAAATTCTCTACACAAATATAGGGCTTGGTAGAGCAGACTGCAACATTTCAACTGAAACTGAAAACAAAAAATCCACTCCACTGCAAAAAGAAATCTTCCATTCGATTGTTTATAGACATTCTACGTTGTAGCATTGCCTATGAAGGTCAAACATCAGTGCTTGGACCTTCAAAGGTAGAAATTTTTACATTTATAAAGTTTCAAGAATGGAAGTTCCCTGAAGTTTATCAAAGAGTCATGAATCTCAGGTAGGCTTCCAATGAACATATCTTCTAAGGTCTCATGCTCAGTAAACCTAATAATACCAATCACCTGAGCTCAGCCATGAACATGTCATTCCACTCCGTCTAGAGCCATGTTTCATGTCAACAATTGCTACCATAAATTTGCAAAATATGGCCCCCAAAGAGTGGATATTGCAGAGAATCTCTAAATTTGGCAATTCTCATTGTCAGTGGGAAAATGTGTTACACTAAATAAAAGTGGTTTGGGGATAGCCTCATTAAATTGCAGTTATGACTTACGACAAATTGAAGGTGACTGTAGAGTCACTGGGGTGATGATCAAAGACTAATCCTTCACAAAGGAACTTCAAATTGTATGAGATCAAATATTTTATTGGAAAAACTACTTTTCATTAATATCAATCATAAACTTAGGTTCTGTTTGCATAGGTGCATTTAAAATAAAGAACTCTATAAAAATATAGAAGAGTTGGTTATTATAAAGATTGAGAAACTACAAGAGAAGATAGGGTAGGGTAAGAAGAGAAGTATGTTATAATGATCTTTGTGCAACTATAATCCTTAGCGAAGTATTTCAAGCAACTACTTCTATTCTAGGTTGTTTTCTTAAATCCATTATAATTTATCACGGTAAACTTCTCGAATTCAAACATGAAATCCATATTTAAACTGTCATAGCTAAATTTGATCCATTCTCCCAAAAAGTTAGTGCCCATATCATTTCAAATCTATAAATCCCACAAAAAAAAATAAAAAATAAAAATAAAAATCTATGAGTACGGAACATGCACTGTCTAAATTGTGATATCATAACATTCCTTGAGACATATACTTCAACTTTCAAGTCATTATGAATAATGCCCAAGCCTTTTCTAGTGGCTGACATGGTTGGAACGGTGTATGAGAGGGCTTAACCCTCTATGGACTTATTACTTTGGTTTACTTTGGGTACGCTTGATTGGTGGGATTGCAGCTTAGAATTGTGATTGTTAATCCATGGACTCACAATCCTATGTTTGATTGCAAATTTTATTAATCAGATTACATGTATGATGGACATTCAATCCGACGAAATTGGCAAATTTTTAATATTGAGAGGGATTGGGGATCATAGCCTCAAGTATAAAAGATTAAAGATAAGATGGATATCTAATAAATGGTTATCTTACTAATTTAATTGAATAACTAATACTACACTAATTCAGGGATTATTAATCCTTTCACTATTAATCGGTTAATCAAACAAAACCTTTATGTATTTTCTTTCCGAAGCATCAAAAAAAATTATGAATAATGCTCTCAATCAGTCATCATTTATCACAATTTGTCTTGCATGTAGAAGATTTACTTGTACCAACCAAACAAACAAACAATAAAAAAGAGTACTAATTTCAGCAGTTTGGATAAGGCCTGTACACAGTTTCATCACAATGAAGGAAGAAATAACACAGAGATTAACACATAACATAAGAATTGCAGGAAAAGAAATGAAACAAAACAGAAATGTACCAGACATACGGAAACAGCAGTTGCTCGAGCCCGATCCAATGGCGAAGTGTAAACAGCATTAAATCGAACACCCTGTGATTTCAAGAAGACAGCAAGAGCTCTAGCTTGGCGCTTCCCATTGGGGGTGAGTGCAGCATCGGGACACCTACCGGCAATCAAATCTGGTCTCAAATTCATGTGCCAATCTCCGTGACTGATCAAGAACACCTCTGTAATGGTCCGAGCATCGTTAAGAAGCACATCCGACGAAAAGCTCCTAGAGAAAGGCAACGGCGGCGGAGGAGGAGGAGGAGCGAGAACATTGTAAGGGTCCCAGACCTTGATCGAAGGTCCGAGTCGAGGAGTGCCGAAGGAGGAGAGCTGGGGGGAGAGCGGGGATGCCGAGGCGTGGCAGGGCAACATCTCTGGCTCCTGTTCTAGAACCTTCTTCACCAAACTGGTATCGCCTAATTCTCTTCTTGGGTCATTTCTTCGGCTAGTATGGTCTTCTTCCTGCTCAGCCTCCTCCTCCTCCTCATCTTCGTCTTCGTCCTCGTCTTCCAACACTTGTGCGGACTGAGATGCACCCATGACAGCGTATTTCTAGGTAGGTAGATCTCTTCGATGATCAAATCGAAATCAAAATCAAATTACGATCTTCTCTTTTACAGTATTAATCAGATTAGATTAGGAAAGCTATGCTATGCATAATATTCCGATACAAATGATTTCGTCTTGAATCGATGCGATGCGGTGTGTGTAATTATGAATAAATTAGGGTTTTGAGCAAAGAAGGAAGCTTGAGGAGAAGGATGTGAGATCTGAGGACGCGGAGGAAGTAGATCTGGTGTGGTGTGGTGTGTTTTGTTTCTTTTCTGTGCGTTTACGTTGCACCAGTTGCCTGCTGGAAAACAGCAGACTCACACATTTCTTTATGGAGACTTTCTTTATCTTTATTCCTCCCCCTCCCTCCTGTCCTGCCAAGTTGATCCAATTGCTTTGATTTGATGGCCGTTTTGTAAGGCACTTTGATGGGCGTTTTGGGAGGCTCTTCAAATTTAAGGATTATTTGAAGTCTTTTTAATTTTTTATAATGTAATAAAGAATTGATGTAATTATATATAAAAAAAAAAATTGTGCTAAAGTAATACAAATCAAACAATCTCTGCCCACAGGCCTATTCTACAAATTAAAAAAAAATTAATTTATATATCAAATACAATTTTTTAATTAAATGTGATAATTTATAAAATAGTTTTCTTTTTCATTATTTTGAAATAAGCCAGTGACATCTGTTATGGAGGTAATTATTCAGTAATTCTGGAATATAGACATGTAATACTTCATAATATGGTAATTAGTGGAGATGGTGGGTAAGCGGGATATTGTGTTGAGTAATTGAGAGACATGATAGCGCATAATGAATAATGATTGACTAAGAATACGGAAACGTGGTATTGCGGGGAATACTGAATAATTTCCAGTTATGGTGGTGACCATAACACCAGTTTAAACAAAAAATAGTTACAATGTTTATTTGAAATGTTAATTTTTATTTTAATTGAGTGGTGTTTTAAAAAGTTAGTAAAAAATTGACTTTTAATTTTTTTTTGTAGCTTTTTTGTATAAAAAAAATTGACTCTTTTGTGGCTTTTTGTGTAAAAAAAACTAAAAAACTAAAAAAATTGACTTTTTTAGCAAGTTTCCAAATTAGCTGATTATGATTGATTAAATCAGTAAAATACAAAATCTAAAATTAAAAAAAAAAATAACAAAAAACAAAAAGAGAGAATAGATGACCTGCCAAAATTGTGAACTACGATCCTTATCTTTGTTCAGTTTTTGTACATGCAACTACAAACTATTTTTTTATTCTCTGTCTCATTTTGTTGATTTATTGTGTTATATTTTGTATGTCTACATTAAAAAGTTAAAATTTAAAATTTATAAGTTTTTAAGATTATCTCGGTAAAGTAATTATAAATAAATTTAAAAATTGAGAATAGAAGAATATTTTTAAAATTAATTTTTTAAAATTCAAATTCAATGATTATATTTTTTAAAAAAGTTTGATTTTCCAAATTATTTATTTAATATGGGACAGAGGGAGCACGCCCTCTTACTTTACTTCTTTACCCTCTCGGCATTAACCTTCACCAAAATATAAGCACTTCGAAAAATCTAGAGTTTTTTTTATTATTTTTATTTTGTGAAAAGATTATTTTCAAAATATAATTTGTGGTTGAGATTATTTTAGATGTTTGTCTTATAACTGAAGAATTAAATTTAAACCATACATAATTTTTTTGGTAAAATTATGAATTTGGATTTGGTATCACAGGTTGTTGAGTTGTGTCAAAATAATGACAATGTACAAAAATAAATAAATAAAACAGTATAATAGTATTAATGAAAATGGCATACATGTACAAGTCTACTTTTTAGATTAATGATATACTAGCATGTTACCCGTATTATGCACATGATAAAATAATATATTATTTATTAAAAATATAATAATTATATTTAATTTTTATATTTTGTCTTTCGTAAATAAAATTTTATATATAAATTTAAAAGTTTTGTTTCATTACTGGTGATGTTGTTCAATCTGAAGGTGTATTGTGCAATTATATAAGGTAGGTTGAGAGCGGGAAGCAACTCGAAGAGATTTTTTTATTTTTTCTCTTCAAAAAGGGTAAAATTGATATTTTAAAAAATAATTAATGATGTCAGCAAAATGCATTAGTTAACTTCGCAATTTGTTGATAGAAGGGATAAATTGTAATGTAATTAAACTCTTTAAGGAGGAAATGTAATTTTTAAAACATCAAAAAAAAAAAAAAACTAAAAAAATGAATAAAGACTTTAAAAAATGTGATTACAATTAAAACTAATGCCATATTTATTAATACGTATAATTTTATTTAGATATCTATTTATACTTTAACTTGCTTATTTAAAAAATAAATAAAAATAAATAAAAATATTAATAATTTTGAGTTCTAAAATATGATTTTTGTGGGAGCTAAAAAAAATATATATTAGCTTATTGGGACTAAACCAAACAAGGCCTATAATAGATCTAACCCAAATAAATATTAGACCCCCCATCTATATAAAGAGGGGGGCATCCCAGAGAAGGAGGCAGGTGATCTCTCTCCCCTACTCAAAACACAAACACTCTTCATTTCTATACATTCATTCTTTCAATCAAGTGACTAACTTCACCATCAGAGTGTCTCCGGTCAGCAACCCCGGTTGGGTGGCGCCGATCACGCTCATCTGCGCAGGTCTATAGGGACAAAGTTCATCTCTTCGTTGGATCTCCAAAATCTACGTGAGAGGATTTTCTTGGTCTCACAATTGGCGCCATTTATGGGAAAAACTAAATGAGATCAACGAAGAAACATACTACTGTAAGTAAACATGTACTGGTTGAATTGAGGTTAGTGCATTTTTAACAAAATCAAAATCAATCCCAAGTAATACGGCCCACAACTGGGTCTCTTACTTTCATTCTAATTCGACTTGGTTTTGTACATATAGTATCTATGATACTAGTTGTGGTGAGTTGTTGTTGGAATATCGTTTTTTGCCTGCTACAACCAACAAAAACAAACAAAGTATTCTTGATCAATAAAACCGTTTAGGTGTATGAATGACGCACCACAAAGTAGGGTTTATCAATAAACCATTTTATAGCCTTTTTTGTTTTGCTTTAAACAGTTGTTTTATGCCCCACGATCCTTTACAAAGCCGTTTTATGGCCGAGTATGTATGCATATTCTTGATCAATTGTTGTCCTAATTACAGCTTTTTATACATTTAGATGTAGCGCTCCTGAATTTACTTGAGCATTTTCACTTTCTCTTTAAAACTGGGTTTCATATTTTTGTTTGTGGAAGCTTCTTTTCGGCATTATACAAATGGTTGCTCGGCCGAACCCACTTCTAGAATTGTTATTTATTTATTCACAGGAGTTTATTTAAAATTGATTCTTGCGATATACATGTTATTAAATTAAGGAATTACATTTTGTGGCTCCCCAACTAAGAAACAAATGGCTCACGTCTTTCCTTAATAATTTAATATTTATATCTATGTTGTTTCGGCAACCATAGACACATTATTGGCAACCAAAATTTTTGAACCCAAGCAGCCATTATTTGGCACATTATTGGCAACCAAAATCTGAGCCAAAATAACCATTATTCGGCACAGTATTGGCGCATATTGGGCACATTATTGCAACTTATTCGGCAACTTTTATTCTGTATATTATTAACAAGGAGTTTCGGCAACTTATTGACTTATTCGGCAATTTTATTTGCATGTTATCAACTACATATTAACTCTACATGTTATCAACTCTGCTTCAACAACTTATTCGGCTTGTTTGGCAACTTGCTCGGTATATTAGCAACTCTGCAAATCATTACCGTTGCAATTCGACAAATCATTCTACATATTATCAACTCGGCTTCGGCAACATTATTCGGCTTCGGCAACTTATTTGGCAACATTTCTTATCAACTGTGATTCGGCATATCATTCGGCATATTATCAAAAGCATATTGATATCAACTCTGCATTTTATCTAGCATCAGCTTGTTTGGTACTAACTTCTTGGCAATAATATTTGGCACTAATATCTTAGCTTCGGCAACAATATTCTTCGGCACTAATCTCGGCATCGACATAGAACTAGCATCTCGACTTGCCGAAATCCACATCTAACAATACTAGAGGATTCATGTCGACTCAAGGAGTCCAAAGCCACTAATCAGAGGAGCAAAAAATTAACCGACGTTTGTCGATAATTGCGCAACAACCCATAGTTTTAACAAACTGCAATTTTCAGCATTCTCAAAACCCAGTTTCGACCATACCAATGTGAAGTACTCTTTGAGACGAGTTTAACGCAAAGAAGGCATCAAAATCGAACCTAAAACGAAACTGTACAAGCCGATCAAAGTTTGCCTTCAAATTCCACTATTTTGCCGAAGACGACGAACCAGAGTGGGCAAATAAATAGAAATTATTCAGTGCATTGTGGCTAGAATACATCCCGTTGTTTTGACATAAAGACAGTAGCTGAACAACAATTTAGTTCAAATATATAATTTGCGCAAAATAAACACAAGGCTTTGTTATGGCACAGTGGTTGAGCATTGTTTATTCCTTGTTGGGGCACGCGCACGCGTTCAAATCTCACAGGTAACAATTTCACTTATATTATTTTTGCATAAACTTAGCATAGGGCATCACATTATGAGAAATTATCCAGTACTTCGCAGCGCACAATTTTCAATCGATCTGTGCCCTCCAATTGTTTTAGCCACAACTACGCTATCAGAAGTCCGATTACAACGTTTGCCTTCAAATTCCATTATTTCGCCGAAGACGAAGAACCAGAGTGGGCAAATAAATAGAAATTATTCAGTGCATTGTGGCTAGAATACATCCCGTTGTTTTGACATAAAGACAGTAGCTGAACAACAATTTAGTTCAAATATATAATTTGCGCAAAATAAACACAAGGCTTTGTTATGGCACAGTGGTTGAGCATTGTTTATTCCTTGTTGGGGCACGCGCACGCGTTCAAATCTCACAGGTAACAATTTCACTTATATTATTTTTGCATAAACTTAGCATAGGGCATCACATTATGAGAAATTATCCAGTACTTCGCAGTGCACAATTTTCAATCGATCTGTGCCCTCTAATTGTTTTAGCCACAACTACGCTATCAGAAGTCCGATTACAACGATCCAATAGTCGTTTCCAACTATTTGACACCTTCTAAACACATCTGTACCGTTTGATTTTGCAAATTCCATACCCAAAATTTGTCGATTTATATGCAGTGCCACATATCGCAGCTCAAACAACACTTTTGTCGCCAAGCCTAGCATTTGATTAATACCGAATTCAATAATCTGAATTCCTTCCGAATAACCACTGTCCTTCGAAAGCAATGGGGCAACCATATGTTGTACTTT